TGTATGTACGTGTGTGTATGTGTTTGTGTGTATGTATGTGTGTTTGTGTGTATGTATGTGTGTTTGTATGTATGTGTGTGTATGTGTTTCTGTGTATGTATGTGTGTGTATGTATGTGTGTTATGTGTCTGTCTGTGTGTCTGCATGTATGTGTGTGTGTATTGTGTATGTGTTTGTGTGTATGTGTGTGTTTGTGTGTATGTGTATGTCTCTGTGTATGTATGTGTGTGTATGTGTGTGTATGTGTTTGTTTGTACGTGTGTGTATGTATGTGTGTGTATGTCTTTGTATGTTTGTGTGTTTACGCTCGCATTACACAAATGTGTTGCAGGTCTAAGGCGTTCCTCGCGCAGCATTTCCGCTTTATTATTTCAGTCGTTTACTGCCGTACGCACCCTCACAGTCGTGTGTGTCTGCAGCAAGCGCGTGTATGTGTACCTATGGACGCGCGCGCGTGTGTTGTGTAGGGGGAACGGTAGTGTAGTGGTTAGCGTGCTGTCTGTGTCTGTGTGTGTGTGTCTGTGTCTGTGTGTCTGTGTGTGTGTCTGTGTGTGTGCGTGTGTGGTGTGTGGGGAGCGGTAGTGTAGTGGTTAGCGTGCTGTCTGTGTGTCTGTTTGTCTCTGTGTGTGTGTCTGTGTGTGTGTGTCTGTGTGTGTGTCTGTGTGTGTGCGTGTGTTGTGTAGGGGGAACGGTAGTGTAGTGCTTAGCGTGCTGTCTGTGTGTGTGTGTGTCTCTGTCTGTGTGTGTCTGCGTGTGTCTGTGTGTGTGTCTGTGTGTGTGTCTGTGCGTGTGTGGTGTGTGAGGAGCGGTGGGTGTAGTGCTTAACGCTACGCTGCGCTACCTACCCGGCGAACCCAGTTCCATTCCCGCTCACGGCCACCACCGGTGACAATTATTTGAACCTCCCCTAGGTCGACTCTGCCTCAAACGAGTAACTGCTGTAGCGTATTAACATCGCCACTGGGGAGACAAAGGCGGCCGGCCGTGGTGGATACAAGTCCCGGGCGAAGCCGGGTAGTCGTCAAGCGACGACTTTGTCGTATTAAGTCGCTATACACAGCGTTGCCCGGGGGGAAAATACATTTTTACTCTTAAGAAATATTTTCTACATTACATAGCAATGACAAAACAACTGTCTAATTACTTTTTAACCCGACGCGCAAAAAAATATATTCTTTCTAACTTCACTGTGCAAATACTCATTCAGCTGGCTGAGCGGACTGCCAGTATATTACGTACACTGTAGCCTGCTTATTACATTCGGTCAGTGCACTGCTTATGAAGCACAGTGGGTGTACTGCCAGTCTATAATGTGGACTGTAGCCTGGTTCTTAAATAAAGTTAGTCAATTGGTAACACGTAGGCTTTCGCTAACATTATTCATAAACACCGTTATTGGCTTTAGATCGCCTTATTTATTAATGTGTTGTAACACTCCACCACCCCACACGGACAATCAGTACAAAAGTGTCCCGTTGATAAAACAATCATAGTTCACTGCTTTACGCCACCGCTGTGTTCAAGCGTTCAAACACTACAATTAACATTTCTGATTAAAAAACAACTGTATCATTATGTTTCAACCCCACGCGCCATTATGTTTCAACCACACGCGCCAAAAATCGATTCTTTCCATCTTCACTGTACTAATTGTCATTCAGCTGGGTGAGCGTACTGCCACTCTATAATGTACACTGCAGCCTGCTTATTAAACTCGCTGCTTGTACTGCCAGTCTATAATGTAGACTGTAGCCTGCTTAATAAGTAAAGTCACTCATTATGTAACACGTACGCTTTGCCAACCATTATTCAAAAACAACCTTATTGCCTTTACATCGCCTTCTTTATTAATGTGTTGTAACCCTCCACCACCCCACACGGCCAATCACTACAAAAGTGTCCCCTTCATAAAACACTAATAGTTCACTGGTTTAGCCCACCGGTGTGTTCAAGCGTCAAACCACAAAAAATACCATTTCAGAGTAGGACGTTTCGCTTATGCTCGATTCAATTACCAGCCAAACGTCCTACTCTACAATTGTCTGTCCGTCTGTGTACGCTCGCTTGCGAGCGATTTGCCCGGAGCCACGTACCGTGCCCCGCGATGGCAATAGGCATGTCAGTATTTTTTATCCGTCACCTTTAATGTCGTTTATTTTCGTCTTTTGTTAACTTTTGTATTTATTAATTTCCCCGCGCCGCTCCGCGCTTCCCATACAAACTATTGCGCCATCGATCCCCGCGTCTTTCATAGGAGAATATATTTTTAAATCTTTTCTATTAAGTTTGCTGCCACGCATATTCATAATTTACTGTTAAACAATTTACTTTCACGCATTATACTTATTCTTTATTCATGTGCATGACCATCCCAAATCACGCACCTTTCGTGAGGGAGACGGCTCATGCCAAGTTGCACGCTGGTAGTGACGGCAACATTTTTTTTTCCCTTAAAAATGCTTTACAAATACACTAAACGCTCACCTAAATTCTTCACTGCCTCATGTCCTGCCACATATCCACTTCTCCCGAGGGGGGTGCGGCCAACCGTGCGTTTTCTGTACCATGGCTTTGCCCACATTTACCTTCCGTACGTATCCGATATCTCGAGGATCCCCAAGCCGGTACACACTCATTTTCCAAGCGTCCGCGATTTTTGTGTTGCCTCACTCTAGAGTTTCCTGTAGCGAACCGGACTTCACCTAAAGCTAATGATCCGAGCCAACCGTCTACACCTTGAATTGTATGGCCAATGGCAGAGACGTGTTAACACCGCAAGGTGGAAACAGACTGGTCATACCGAAAGGCGTCAGGTCAACGTTTCGTTTGGAACCCCATAAATCGGGGGCACGCAACACTATTTTCACAGCGCCATAGTCGTGTTGCCCCATCGGAAGGGCCCCATTGGAAGGGATCTCCAACACGACTTGAGAGCACCACAGTCGTGTTGCCTCATTGCTAGCCAACTACAACACTACTCTAAACTACAGTTGGGTTTCCACATTCGTAGGGATAATCAACCCCACTGTCAACCGACATTTAGTGTTGACGCTTTTGCGTTCAGCGCTATTGGTGGTCTTTTCCCACGCACGTGTCAACTTGCTGCACTTAATTCGAAGTTCTTTTTTCTCTTCCATAGAAACCAAGTATCCATGTCTACATCAAGCAAGGGAAAGCGTAAAGCGCAAACCACGACAACTAAACAAGCCAACAAAAAAGCCCGTACAACCACCGACGAAGCACCCTCCATACCTGCACCAAAGCGCGTTATGACCGAACAACAAAAAAAGCTAAAACGTCAACGGGCGGCGTTTATACATGCGGCGCAAACGGCTAAAGCGTTGCAACAAAGCCGCCACAATAAAGCAATTGCCAAGGCGCGTTTGCGCACCCAAGCTACTGCAAAACAACTTGAAGCCAGACGCCAACGCAACCGAGAGCTCATGTCTTACGCACGTGCCAACGAAACCCCCGAAGAACGCGACGCGCGACACCTACACAACCGTGAGGTTACGTCGGACGCACGTGCCGCGGAAACCGAGGAACAACGCGACGCGCGACGCCAACGCAACCGAGAGCTCATGTCGGACGCACGTGCCGAGGAAACCGACCATGAACGCGAGGCGCGACGCCAACGCAACCGAGAGCTCATGTCTTACGCACGTGGCAACGAAACCCCCGAACAACGCGAGGCGCGACGCCACCGCGACCGCGAGGCGACGTCGGACGCACGTGCTAACGAAACCACTGAAGAACGCGACGCGCGACGCCTCCGCGACCGGGAAGTTATGTCGGCCGCACGTTCTAACAAAAGCACCGAAGAGCGTCAAGCGCGACGCCGAGTGGATCGCGAGGCAACTGCCGTGGCACGGCAAAATGAAGATGATCGCCAACTCTCAACACCACGCGCTGACGATGCGCAGCGCAGAGCTGTCCGGGTCTCGACAAACTATCGAGACCTAATTGGCGCGGCATTCGTCTATTCACCCCACGACCCATATGCCGATATGCGCGTTCTCCAACTTGGTCTCATGGACAAGCGGTGTGTCCAATGCACTGCTTTAACGTTTGCAGGAGAACCCAAGGGTCTATGTTGTGCAAGTGGCAAGGTTGTATTGCCTGCTTTGCCACAACCCCCTTCGCCGTTGAATCAACTGTTGTACGGGAATGGAGACTTGGATCGGCATTTCCAAAACAATATCCGGCGCTTTAACTCTGCATTTCAGATGACCAGCTTTGGTGCAGACGTTAAGGATCAGGGGGGCTTTATGCCAACGTTTCGCATCAAGGGTCAAGTGTACCATAGAATAGGGTCATTGTTGCCTTTCGCTGATAATAATCCTCAGTTCTTGCAGATTTATTTCTGCGATGGTATCGACACCGCCACCAATGCTCGATTGAGCTTCACAGTTCAGAACGAACGAGATCGGTCCAAGGACCGTGAGGTGGTTGTGATGCTTCAAGACATGCTTAATAACCACAACGAGTTGGTACGGCAGTTCAAAAACCATCTTGGGAATTTGACTACACCAGGCCAGCGCTTGATCATTCGTGGGGACAAAACACCTGGGGATGAACATCGTGGGCGCTACAACGCACCAACAGCACCCGACGTCGCAGTCATCATCTGTGGAGAAAACGGAAAGAAAATGGACATTGTGCTTGAGAAATCAAGCGGTGTTCTGGTGCGGATTTCCGAATTTAATCCAACGTATGATCCACTGCAGTACCCCTTGATTTTTTGGAACGGGCATGATGGTTATCACTTTGATATATATCAAAACGGAGGGCAAAGCGCTAAAAAGGTGTCATGTATGCAATTCTACTGCTACATGCTCATGATTCGCGACGGTACTAAGAACCTATTGCTGTACTATCGTGAATTGTTCCATCAATTCGTCGTCGACATGTACGCCAAAATTGAATCTGAACGATTGGACTTTATCCGTTACAACCAAACAAAATTGCGCAGTGAATCTTACTTCCATTTGTGTGACGCGATGAATCAGGCAGACGCGGATCCTACTCAAATTGGGAGACGTGTCGTCTTGCCTGCTACGTTCACTGGTAGCCCGAGACACATGCACAAATACGCTCAAGATGCCATGGCGTATGTGTGCAAGTACGGCCGACCTGATCTTTTTGTTACGTTCACATGCAACCCCAAGTGGGAGGAAATACAACGTCATCTATTCCAAAACCAAAAACCTACACATCGTCACGATGTGATCGCTCGGGTCTTTCGTCTCAAGCTTAAAAAAATGATGGAAGTCATCTGGAAGGGAAAAATATTTGGTGACACCATTTGCCACATGTATTCGGTGGAATGGCAAAAACGTGGGTTACCCCATGCGCACATCTTGGTTTGGTTGGCTACAAAAATACGCCCCAATCAAGTGGATCTCATTATCACTGCTGAGATCCCAGATTCCAACATCGACCCTGCTTTGTACACAACTGTCACTACAAACTTGCTTCATGGTCCATGCGGAAGGGACAATCCTTCCTCACCGTGCATGCTAAATGGCGTTTGTTCCAAGCGCTACCCCAGGCAATTCATTGTCGAAACACAAACTGACAAAGAAGGGTATCCTTTATACAGAAGACGAGATTCCAACCATGGTGGTCATACATTCAAAAAGACTATCCGTGGGAAAGAATTTACGTACGACAACCGATATGTTGTGCCATATTCGCCGATTTTGTGCAAAATGTTCCATGCGCACATCAATGTCGAATTTTGTCAGTCTGTGAAGGCTATCAAATACATTTGCAAGTATGTCTACAAAGGCAGCGACCAAGCTGTCTTTGAGGTCACTGGAGGCACTGAAAATTTTGACGAGGTTCGACAGTTTCAACAGGGCCGCTACATAAGCAGCAACGAGGCTATATGGAGAATCTTCAGCTTTTCCATCCATGATCGGTTTCCTGCCGTTGTCCATCTTGATGTGCATCTAGAAAACGGTGAACGCGTGTATTTTACAGCCGGCAACGTCGACAAAGTCCTTCAAGTGCGTCGCAATACTACGTTGACTGCATTCTTCAAACTTTGCGAAAGCGATGAGTTTGCGCGTACGCTACTGTACTCTGACATTCCGTCGTATTACACTTGGAAGAACTACACTTGGAACCGTCGTCTCAAGGGCCTACCAGTGGAAGGCTGGCCTGGCGTTTGCAAGGACCACGCATTGGGTCGCCTCTATACCGTTCATATGTCCCAAACGGAATGCTATTATCTCCGTTTGCTTTTGATTAACGTCAGAGGCCCAACATCCTTTGACTCCATTAAAACGGTCGATGGACAACTTTGTGATACGTTTAAACAAGCGTGCCAAGGTTTGCACCTTCTGGAAAGCGAACATCATTTGCACCAGGCCATGCAAGAAGCAGTAGACTGTCGAGGACCGTCAAAAATCCGCGATCTATTCGCTATTATTTTGACTACGTATACTCCAGCTAATGCGAGAGACCTGTGGGATGCTTACAAAGATCACATGGCTGAAGACATTCTATTTCGCTATCAAAATGAGTCCAACGACCAAGGACTTGAATTGTCCGATGCTATGACTAATGAGGCTTTGATCTTGATAGAGAACATCACTTTGTCTATGGCGGGCCGCCCGTTGGAACACTTTGGTCTGGATACACCTCGACGAGACCTTCCAGTGCCCCTTTGTGCTGAAATTGTTCGGGAGCAGAACTACGATACTATTGCTCTCTCACGTTTAGTGGACCACAATCTGCCTCTATTGCAGAATGTGCCTGCGCAACATACGGCATATGTATCATTGATAGAGAAGATCTACTCCGGACAAGGTTCCGTCACCTTCCTCGACGCACCTGCTGGCACTGGGAAGACGTTCCTCATCAACACCATATTAGCCTCTGTCCGGTGCAAAGGAGATATTGCGTTAGCAACAGCTTCTTCTGGCATTGCTGCTACTCTTATGGATGGGGGACGCACAGCTCATTCCACATTCAAGCTACCACTGAATTTGACACGTGAAGATGCCACTTGCAATATCTCCAACCAAAGTGGTACTGCCAAATTGTTACGTGCTTGCAAAGTCATTGTTTGGGATGAATGTACCATGGCACACAAAAGAGCTGTAGAACTCCTCGATGACACTTTACGCGATATCCGCGAACCCCGTCAAGTCATGGGAGGAGTCTGTGTCATTTTATCAGGGGACTTTCGTCAGACACTGCCTATCATTACCCGGGGAACCATGGCGGATGAGGTCCATGCGTGCTTGAAGAAAAGCCGCCTTTGGACCCAGGTCGATAAGCTAAAGTTGACTACTAACATGCGCCTATTGACCAGTGGGGATTTGTCGGCTCAACGTTTTGCCGACACATTACTCCACATTGGAAATGGGACTATGCAGCCAATCCATAACGATGACATTACACTCCCTATCGACTTTTGTCATATGTTGTCGTCTCCTAGCGACTTAAAAGACAAAGTCTATCCTGATATCGCCACCAAACCTATGGGAGATGATTTGTGCACTTGGCTATGTGCACGAGCTATACTGGCACCCCGGAACGATGATGTCAATGCAATCAATGCTCATATTTTGGGGTTGCTGCCACAGCCTGCTGTGACGTACAAGTCGTTCAACAAGACACTTGAAAATGACGATGCAGTACGCTTTCCCACTGAATTTCTTGACTCTCAAGAATTGCCAGGCATGCCTCAACACAAACTCACGCTGAAGGTTGGCGCACCTATACTTTTGTTGCGAAATCTCAATGCTCCAAAACTCTGCAATGGTACAAGACTTTGTGTCAAGTCTTTGTTTCCAAACTTAATTGAAGCAGTTGTGTTGACTGGCAGTCACAAAGGGGTTGAAGTGCTATTGCCACGGATCCCCATTATTGCCGAAGATGTCCCATTTCCCTTCAAGCGAACGCAATTCCCCATTCGTTTGGCTTATGCAATGACCATTAACAAATCTCAAGGTCAAACATTCCTAATTGCTGGGATCAATCTACAAACGCCTTGCTTTGCCCACGGCCAACTATACGTGGCCTGCTCTCGCGTCGGATCCGCCAAAAACTTATTTGTCTACGCACCTGGCGGTATCACGAAAAACATTGTGTACCCACAAGTTCTCATTGATTAGTTTCTAAACTTCCGTAATCAATTATCTTTAAACACTTCACTTAAACACACTCTTTACTTACCTTTTTCTAACACTCCGTAATAAATTATTCGATACACTTTAACATCTTTCTCTGTCCCCACTTATGTACCCGCCACAAGCACAACGCGTGCACATGCAAACCACAAAATACAAAGCCTCCAACTCAGACAACACGTGAGGACCCGTGCAACGCCGGGTTTTACTGCGAATTGCCAAAGTTGTCAATATGTGTGTCTGTTCAACATGTTAACCGTATTTCCCGACATGCAACAAACAGCAAATTTCGCATGGGGCTACTTTGCAGACTGTACACCATGCAAACATTCTCAAAATACACTTTTTTTAGGGGAGGGGGTGAGCTCAATAATGCATATATTTTGGTACACCAATTGACCTGTGACGTCAAATATGTCATGTGACCCGCGCATGTGTAAGCGTAACGCATTGCAGTGTCGTGGTTAGCGCGCCGCGCTACGAACCCGGCCACCCAAGTTCCATTCCCGCTCACGGCCACCACCGGTGACAATTATTTGAACCGGTCGTGGGCCTACCCTAGGTCCACTCAGCCTCAAAACGAGTAACTGGTGTGGCGTATGAACATCGCCACTGGGGAGACAAAGGCGGCCTGGCGTCGTGTATCCAAGACCCGGGCGAAGCCGGGTAGTACAGCTAGTAGAACTATACAGTATTGCTGTTGGGAGTGGAGCCTACAATCGCTACGTTGCGCATTTTAACCTGGTTCTCGACGCAAGTCCCCTGCCCATGGTGGAATCTTGTGCCTTTCCGGGCGTTAAGGGTTCGCACCACAGGTCCCTGGCTTCCTATGAAAAATTTGACCGGGCTCCAGACACCGGTCCCTCGCACGTGGCGGATCCTTGAGGCACCCAGCTTAAATGTGTATAGTTGAAGGTGCTAGGTGTTGTCTTCTTCTAACAGCTACTAACGTGCGTGTGTTGTCTGTTTTTAGGATTTGTCCATTGATGTTATTTTTATTGCGGCGTTTTTTTGTTGAGTTCTGTCACTTGAGTGTTGCAGTTTGTTTAAGAATTCGTCACGTGAGCGTGGTGTTTTGCTTGTGGGAATTTCGCTTTGTCAAAATCTGTGATTGTTATAATCTCGTGAGTTTATAATGGGTTTATAATGGGTTTGTGCGTCTATTTATTTAAATATATTCCGTCTTTTGTTATTCGATGACATTTAGCATTATTTGCTCCGCTGCGGGCCTCCTGTCACCGCTCCCCATTGACATGTTTGGTGGCTTCTACATACTATTAACATTCCCTCCCTTTGTTAATGCTACCCCCTCCCTCTGATGCTGCTAATCCTACATAATGAATGGGCATAATATGACTTTGAAAACCCCCCCGCCCACCTCCTACGCATTTCCCATAAATATGCTAAATTCCTCTTGATATGCAAATTATTTTGTCAAGGCGCTCTTATTCCACCTCCAACCCAGCTTATATATACGCTCCAAGCTTGGCAGTGTTTCATTCTTCACCTGAAGACGGCTACTTGCGTTGTGGCCGAAACGTCGTGAGAATTATTTTATTATGTTTAATTTTTATTATTTTATTACTTCCCTTCTACGTGACTTTACCGAAAGAACTAAGAAGAAGTATGAGTCCATTCATGAGTAGTATTCACTAAGCACCGATGGCACTAACCTACATACAGTTATGATTAAACAAAGTAAACATTAGTCGCTCATCCCAGCTCAGACATGATCATAGCAATTATTTCCAAATCCGTGTCGGGTCCCACGAGAACAGGGCACGTCCACAAACTCTCAAAATATAAACTCACATTGTATACTCTAACATTATAAACTCTAACAGCATAACCTTTAAACTATGAGCTACACATTGTAACGCTTTAAAATAACACTACAAACTAGTGTTATAGTAAACTATAATGTTGTGAACTCTAACAATATAAGCTATGAGCGATACATTATAACGCTATAAAAAACATCATAAACTAGTGTTACAGATTAGAACAAATTACATTGAAGTATTAAAATCGAATCTCATTCGAATTCTTAGCTTCACACCGTGGTCCTCTAAGAATAACACTATGCTCGTGAGTATGTAACATGTCTGTATGTAATATGTATGCATGAGATATGTCTCTATGTAGTATGTATGCATGTAAAATGTATGTATGTAATATGGACGTGCCAACCAAGGGTGGGATATGTGAAACGGAAGGTGCAGGATCAGGATGGGATGAGAATTATTTGAATAACACTTTGGAGGTATTAGGATCAAGCTGTCTACTATTGGATGAATGTTCCATCTCAATGGCATCAAATAGCAATATTCAGTATGAATATGTAAAATAATCGCACAAACCCAATATTAGCCCGTGAAATAATGAATCGTTATAATTGTAATAACTCCGTAGTCAGACTGCAGAGGGTTCTTTTATGTAGCCTTTAACGCGGTTTCAGACCCCAGGCGTCACGATATAGCAACGACGACGACGAGACAGCAACCAGCCAACACAGCCCCAAACCTCGTTCCTCCCCCTCTCTCATTCTCGGCGTGAACCTCCGCCCACACTTGGTCTCGCCTTCCCTTCTCGAACTCTCTCTATCTTGTTGTCACCACTTGTCCCTTAGTTGATGCACTGTCTTTACATCACCCACCTCTATGACCTCTACCTGACCCCCGCCATGGGCGGAGCAAATTGGGGGATTTTCCCTGTGGCACCTGTAGGCAATACAACCATGCCCTGTCCCCCACTGCCCATGGAAGCACGTGTTCCCGCCGCCCCGAGTTCTTTTCATTAGCGGATTGCGCTCTGGTGGGGAAAGGTCCTCGTTATGAATCGTTTCGCAACGTTCAGGTCCAGAATACCGAAGTATACCGGGAATCACCTGTACTTAAAAACATGTAAACTGATCACACTATAAACAATAACACTAAACATTAAACGACAAAAAAACCTACCAACTGGTTTTATAATTTATACCACCATAAACGGAGGTACGGTATTTTAATTTCATTAGAAGTATTATAATGGAACTCTACACATGGTTAATTGTCCGTTCAATCGAACCGACGGTCGGATATGTGAACTGTGGGGGTCGAGGGTAAGAATGGCATTCAAATTTTAGAATGACAATTTGGTCGTTTTAGAAAATTACTGTACTTGAATGTATGTTATGTGCAAATGCAAATTGTTAGTCGTAAATGCGAGGGAGGGGTTAAGAGGTGCACGTTTAATCCAGTGTTAACATTTGTTTTAGCATCATATTTGAGGACACTGTTGTTGATAAGAATTCGTCTGGACATGGCACGTGCCTTGTTCTATACTCGATCAACCAAAATTAGTACAATGTCGGTCATAAAGGAATGCGAGTATTCACAGAGCCCCGATGACACTTACCTACCGAAAGTTATGGTTAAACAA